TAGTTTGTGATGTAGGTTAATCTTTTAAGTTTCAATATTTGCCTGCCTATAAATCCAGCAATTAAGCTGTCATGTACATTTATTTTTCACACAGTGTTTGCCATATCCAGAAATCTCCAGTGACCCTGGCCGTATATTATGTGATCTTATCTGGGGTCCTGGCGCCAAGGTTGAGAAACTTTACTCAAAGTTAATATATGTGCTCGTAAAACTGCAGGCCCCGGAACAACAGGTGCAAAATCAAAAACACACACACACACACACATACACACATGCACACAGGCCCCTCTGTCCGAGTGCCCGGATAGAGCGGGTGCTTTGATATGATGCCCACTGCATCTCCCATTCTCCGCACCGCTCTGCCATCCCCTCTGTGCTCTCCCCCTCTTCCTCCGTCATGCCAACCCTTCCTCTTGCACACTCCCTCGTTTCCTCCCCCATCTTAGCCTCCTCAGCCTTTCTTTCATTTTGCTTTGCGCCTCCCCATTTTTGAATCCGTGTCCCTGCTCTCTCTCACTCTCTCTCTGCCTAGGGCCATAAAACAGGAGGGGAAGCTTGTGTGTGTGTGTGTGTGTATGTGTGTGTGCGTGCCTGTGCAAGTGCCGCATGCATGTGTGCCTCGTTATGTGCCTAAATGTGTTATGTGGCATACAGAATGTAGATGGGGCATCTGTGTGTGTTGCTGGTTCCCCATCTTATGACATGTGCTGTGACTCCAGCACGATCAGATCTGGTTTCCATGACTACCAATGCCCCACTTAAAGCTGCTGCTCCAGAGTTTGTGTGTCTATGCATGTGTGTCAGTGTGCATACATTCATACATACCATATATTTCTGTGAACCAGCGCATGTGTCCGTGTGCATCCATATGCCGCGTATCTTTTGTGTATGAAAATCGACGACTGGAGGAGTTTCCTCTACGTGTGTGTATATGTGAGTGTGTGTTTCCTCACAATAAGGCACGCTCTTTAATCTTTAATGCAGCTGAAACTACAACAAGCACACAGTCAGAGCCAGGGGAAGCGTGTTTGCCAGCACAGACTTCTTTACCATGTCAGCAGGAGACTAAATTGGGGGACACAGTATGGAATGGTAGTAAACATGGTTCTCAACACCCCAGGACACTAAAACAACCAAATAACATCCAGGGGATTCTTTCACCAGAGGAATGGAGCATATCATGCAGTCTCATTCTCCATATCATACCACTGCTACACACTTATATGCAAAAATGTTCGACAGATAACAAGTTGAATTTCTTCTAAATTTGTACGTCTCATGATTCTCAGTCATTCACACTTCCTCGCGCTGACTAAAATGTCCCATATCACCTTTATTTTTAGATTTTTTTCTTGTTCCAATACATGAGCAAACAAAGAGGAAAAGAGAGATTACTGCAGGAAAAGTGAAGTGCCTTTTTTCATTTTCCTGTCACTGTATGCATCAGCAGGCTGCCGATACCGTGCGCCTGAAAGCACAGGGTGATCTTATGAGGTATAGACAGCGCCGAGAGCCGAGAAGAAGTCCATTTTTCTTTGGTGCCTAAAATGTTAAGGCGCAGATCCGTACGCGTCATACTTTACACATCAATTGCGTCTGCACACACCCCAGCAGATACATACCCTCACGCACACACACATAGAGGAAACTCCTCCGGTGTGGGTGTTCAAATCAAAACAAACGCTGATGAGTCATCTTTCTGTGAGCCTCACCAGTGCTCTGCTGCTGGAGCAGTCCTTCTACAGCTACAGTATAGGCTGCTTGGCCTGGTAGCTAGCTGTGTCAGGTTTTCTTGATGGGATTGCAGAGTATCCCATCTCTCTGTCCCATATTCTCTCATATGACAGTAGCGGACAGTTGAGGAGAAGGAGCTGCTGTCCACGAGACCCAGATAAAGCTTGTAATTTTACCCTTGTCTCTGTGCTGGGGATGGATGGATTCCTAAAAAGTGCAGTCCTAAATTTGTCGCTCTGATGAATGTCACAAAACCTGATACTGTCTTCATAATTCAAGCTCTCCGAGTCCAAGTTGATGATCTCATAAAGCAAACCCAAATGCAAATGCAGCTATTTCAAAGGTGGAGGGATTTAATGTCCGGTACTTAAGTAGAATTTTTAGGTACTTGTATTTAACTTAAGTATTATCATTTTATGTTACCTATTTCTTGTAGTTCAGGTCCAGCTGGAGACATTTGTTGCATCTCTCTTCCTTATTTCGGTCATCTCTCTACTGGTGCTATCTAGTGGAGGCATTAAAAGTATTATACCAAATAGTACACACAGTTCAGCTTAAGGTGTTGCTACATCGCTACCTTTATCCATTGTACACAGACAAATAGGAAAAAAAATTCAAATATGAAAGAATGAGAAAGGACAATGGTCAACTGACTCTTCACAGAAATAATAATTAGAGCAATTTGTCTGAAACATGTAGGTGAGGACAGATGTTTGCTATCAACGCCGTATGTCTTATATCTGTGTATATTTAAAGTACTTTTCTCTCTTATGTTGAGCAAGAGAAATCACTATAGTACTTCTAAAGGAGGTCTCAGTGTCACTGCTCCCTAAAAATGGCACAAGACTACTCAGATCAGCGTGAGAGAGATGAAGAGCTTCCAGAAAAAGAGGCCAAAGTGAAGCGCCTGTAAGCGTAGAGATTAGTACTAGCCTTTTGCCTTTTACTTTATTCATAAGAAAATAATATCTGAGCATAAGCCTGCCACGGAGGGTCTATGTTTGAAGCCCCACAGGAAGAAAGAGGGGGGCTTCACAGGAAAAGGCACAACACTGGGAGATGTTACTGAACGTCTATGAAAAGGACTCTGAGACCCAGCTCTGCATGAGGAAGAGGCCAGGAGAATCTTTTTCAAAGAACACATATATGAGGAGACCGAGAGTGGAGCAGTAAGGAGATGAAACAATTCTCCTGCATGAGTTTGGTGCGACTGTGTAAATGTTTCTTTGCCTTTCCTTTAGTGATGACCAACCCAAAAGGATGTCAGCGTATTACATTACCTGAAACCTGCAAATAATAGCATATGTGGCCATAATGAAATATGATCCTTTTTTCCCCAGATTCGGCTCGTAGTTTTGAATCATGACACTCACTAACATCTCCATATGCTGTCTTTCAGTTCCTGTTGTCTATTTGAGATTGAGGAACAAGAATCTGGAAATAACTGATATAAAACTGTCTGTTCCTCATTAGCAGACCAAAACCAACATGTCTTACAAAATGTTCATACACAAAATTGTACGGTTTTCATATGCAGTCTTCATACAGAACATTTAAGAGGGGGAAACATTGGTTTTCCTTGGGTGGAATATATAATACTGCCACATCTAGGATTATATTTCTGCACATGTTTTGTTTTTTAGGACTGGCTGGTTCATAAAATTATTTTATGGGCCCTAAACTGGCAGCATGTTTTTAAAATAAAGTGTAATTAACTCCACAGTTTCTGTCGCGGCTTAACATGAGGGAAAGGCAGTTTCTCTCCGTCAAAGCTCCGATCACTTCTATCTTCCTGTCTATCTTACTTTTAGATATCCTGAGCACAAATATGCCCATAAGTCAGTTACACTGTGAGTGATATTAAAAAACTGAACCAAAACCAACATTTCTAACCATATTTGGCCTGTTACTCATCTAATCCCCAATAAAATTGAAACTCTCTCTTAATGAACGGTGCAAAGGAGCACAGCTTTCCAAGTGAACACTCCAGGGATCAGAGGCTGAAGCCGTGACTCCACTGGCTGCTTCTTACTGTGGCTGAGAAGAGCAATTATAAAACCAGGAACATCATCGTAATCACTCAACGTAACGCATCCCAAATACTCTCTCGCCGTGTCCCCTGAGGGTCTAACATCCACCTTGACTTCTAATCTCAGACATGAGTTTTTACCATCACCATTTTATCACATCCAAAAGGAGCTCGAGTAGTCTTAAAACACATGTAGGAGTATGGAGTTTTAAGAAATTCTTAGATGAGATGGTCACTCTGTGTGTGTGTGATCACCGCAGACACACAATTATCCACAGGAACATGCATTGTGAGTTTGAGTCATCACACAGTAATCATTCTCTTAAGTAAGGGTTTGCGGACACCCTCCCTCCCCATTGTCTGTCAATAGGCCTACCACAGTTTCTCTCACAGCTCCGTAGCTGACCACTGTGCGTGAGAGCAGCTCCTACCACACACACACACACACACACACACTCATACACGCATGATTAGTGATTACTCATTCATACTGTCTGTTTGAAGGGACGTATCTCGCGCCAGCAAAGCGAGCATCATAAAAAAAAAAGCACCAAAAAAAAAAAAA